ATGATTGTAGAATCATAATATATTATTTAAATAAGAAGACATATGACAAATAACTCCTTTGTGCGTCTTACGCGTGCAAAATAAGTAATAAAACATGGACGTTTATTTTTTGGGTTTGCGGTGGTCTCATTGTGTATTGAGGTGGCAAACTCTGACTAACATATGTCCTGTCAAATTCGACAAATGTCTTATTATTTTTTCATGTCCAAGCATTGCTTTGTAGTAAAAAAAAAATTTAAAATTTGTTCTTTCGTTCATTTGTGGTGTGATAGTATAGAAATATTTTTTTCAAAGAAATATTTAGATTCTCCTGACAACTGCAATGACATATTTTTATAATAGTTGGGTATAATTATACAGAAAAGTTATTTTAGTTCTAAAAATAGATTTTAGAACTAAAATTTTTTGGGAATTTTGGGTAGAGGAATAAACACATTGTACATACTATTTTTAAACGATGTAAAAAAAGAGGAGACTGAATTGAGCTGTATTCTTTATGTATTTTTAGTACTATTGCTATTTTTAAATCGATTTTGATTGTTTTTAGTAATGAACTAAAAAAATGAACAAAAAATAGTGAATTTTAAGAACCTCATTATTAGTGCGTAGCTAGTAAGGTGTGGACAGCACTACTGTATAATACGTTAGAACTAGTTTCCGCATAATGAATTATGTCTACCCCGTCGGAAACTTCGGATTATGCATATGAAACACGGCAGAAAACCGGTCGCGAATTCCACTCGACAGTACCAGCTTGATTGACTGATTATATTGATTGACTGACGACCATTATACGCATTGCTCTGACATTACATACATGCACTGTGCCCATAGAAAGATGCCTCGATTCCTTGACAAGATTAATCGAATAATATAATGTCTTGTACTGCTTCACCTTTCGCCCGGTTATGGGATATTGAGATCCCTTAATGTTTTTAATAATTTATTAAAAGTAGTCTTTATTTTTATTTAAATTGTATAGTATTTTTACAGAATTGAAAAAAAAAGACAATCGTCATTATCAGTCACCATGATTATTATTATATACCTATGTATATATATGTGGTCATACGAAACTATAATACAAAAAATATTTATATCTCTATTAAGGTGACCACAATATTGGCTGTTTAATTTTTTTTTAAGAGTAATAATAAGTAATAACAAAGAGTAATATTTGCATCGATAAAGAATCTGTAATACGACGATTTTTATGTTTAATTACAAGAAAAAGTTGATTACAAACACTAACAAGAGGAAGCTTCTTTACAATGCACGCAATGTAAGAAACTCATCAGCGCCCTGAGTGTGACGGTTAGGAATAATAACATTATTACTTACGGTTATTTCTGGCAAGAATTGTAACATTTATTATAATAAGCCAAACTTGTCACGTTAGGTATTGTTTAGTTTATAAACATTAAAACTTTATAACGATATTTAAATCATACCAGTCGTTAACTGTCCACTGCTGAACATAAGTCTCGCCTATAAGGGTGGGTTTCGCTAGTAGTTGCCATGCTTAGCAGGCGTGTTGGCAACTGCAGTTAGAATTTGGTGTTGTTTAAGAGGGACACTGCTGCCCATCTATCGACCATTAAGTTTTCCTAGTCGCATCTTACGACACCAACGGAAAAGTAAAAGGTGGCTCATTTAAATGCTGGAATGACACGGCGTATTTTATACAAATTTTCATAATAATTAGTTAGGTTTTAAAAAAATTAAAATATTTAAACTTGAAAATTGAAAATTCTATTTTTATTTACTGGTTTATTAAGCCACTGTCATTTCATCTTTTAATCGTGAACTACTGGCCTTTCTCATTGCTGTCATTAAGCACCACCTGCGTTTATTTACTCTTTGTAATTTTCAAAAATATGTTCGTGAATGGGTACAATTAATTATATATATAGTCATTCTTTAGATTTTTTAATTCAATAGATAATACGTGGCTACGATGAATGAAGAGTGAACACAAACATTTCTTAGATCACGCTCTGAAGGTAAATATCGCGCCTCGCTCCGGAAGCGGTGACGCGTAATTGCCCCTCACCGCTCAGTTCAAATTAAGCTCCTTTCATGCGTACCATGTCACAAACTGCGGTTTCTTACCGCAAAAGTATGAGTGAATTATACAGTACTATAATGATATCCTTATTGTTCTACCTTCTGTGGATTTTGTTAAATATCTATTTATTCTAGTTGCGTTATATGCATTGTAGTAAATGAGGAATGCAAAAAATCCTATTAATATTTGAAGAATATGGGAATCATGGATTTTGGTATAGACTGAAAAGGTGACCCACCTTTTCTTTTTCCGTGGGTGTAGTAAGAGGCGATTAAGGGAGTTTAATGGTCGAGGGATGGGCAGCAGTGTCTCTCTTAAAACATCACCAAAATCTAACTGTAATTGCCAGCCTGCGAAGCGTGGCAACTACTTGCAAAGTCATTCCAATGGTAAACTGCTATTCTATGGAGGAGGTCTAGTGGGCAGATAACCGCTCATATGATAATGATGACGATATAAAAAAAAATTAAACTCATTATAATAAATCTATTTTAGTCATATTTTTGCCGATAAGCAATTCTAGTTAAATAGCCCAATTCTTCAGCTACGGTTGCTTAAAGGCAGTTTGGAATATGACTGTGTTATGTCTAAAGGTGACGGTTACTACTTTCCATTGGATAGTCCGCCAGCTTGATTGCCATTTTCTAGTTGTTTAAAAGAAATAGTGTTTGTGACACTGATATCTACTACCAAATAGGGTTTGGTAATAGTTGCTAGATGCAGTAGGGTTATCACTTTTTGATATCCTAAATGTGTGTGATTAATTGTAACAACATTATTTTCAACAACATTAACTGGGAATACTGTCATAGGTAGCTATGAGAATTTCATTGGCGATTGAGTCTTATTTCTAGCAAGATACCTTGCTAGGTTTAATTTCAGGCGGCCCCTTTTGGAAAACGAAGACTTCTGAATACGTCACCACGAACTTACTGAGCTGATATTATCCTCAATTATTATTTTCACATTAATAGTGCAGTTGTAGTTACCATTCCATTTTCAAAAAAATCACTGGACCATACACACACATACACGTAATCATGACTTCACTTGAGCATTACTAAGTTTATTTAAAAGTTCGCGCACCTTGTACAGATAGATACCTTTCCAATTGGTGTTTGTTAAAGCTTATCTAAGGGCATCTCGGGCGGACGGTTATTAATGAATTATGTAAATGGGCTCGACCGACCGCCGATCACTACGCCGATATTATGAAAAGCCACTCGAATATAAAATAGTTAACCTCTCTTCCTACGGCATTAGGATTGCTTGATTGTTGTTTCGCAATGAATCTGGTGATAACCGTCATACACGTGCAAATTTTATAAATGTGCTAATATTGCTATATATAAATTGCTTTTTTTATAACACGAAGGTGGCAAAAAAGCATATATCTCTGATGATAAACGATCATTGTAATCTATGGACGTCTGTAACACTAGGGGTGTCACATACGTAGTGCCGACCATAAAGAAACCTTAATACCACCATTTTATAGAATCTCATACTGTAGTGTTTAGGAAAAACCTTGACAGGGTAGTCATTCCACAGCCTGACTATTTGCGAGAGAAAACTCCTTTAAAACTGCACTCTAAGCAACTACTAGGTTCTTGCGTGTTCTTGTTAGTCATACATCCTAATTTTCAGTTGTAAAATTAATACATGTTTTGTGATATAGTGTGTATGTGTAACGAGTATTATATAGGCTGACTATAGATTTTGCAAAGGGCATACATAAATATGCTTTGATTAAATTTCAATTGGTATGATGTCTCGTGGTAAACCGGAGGAATTCGTATTGGGATTGATTGTTATCCGTGATGGATGCGGCTCATTAGGCGGCCGCGCTGGGTGGCACTGCGTCGCTGCGACGTCGCGCGACTCTCGCCCTAATGACACGCTCATAAACGCGGTTGACAGCGACTTATTGTCGTACGCGACGAGAGATCCCGCACTGCCGATACGGAACAACCATTCAAAACATACTTAATACGATTTATTTATAGCTAGTGCTTAACTCTCAACGAACTCGGAGGCCTCAATACGCCGTTCTTTATCGTTGTCGCGATGCGTTCAGCCTCCGAGAATTTTATAGGTCTCTTCTATTTATTATTATTATACTTTTCATAAAGATAGTTTGACATCGCGTCCGTGGTTTATGGGTGCTAATAATTCTTTCTTTCACTTCTGAATTTTATTGCTCACACTTAAGAATTCAATAATAAATTCTGAGTATCGTTATGTCAACTCGATTTTTTTAATATTTAGGGGCCCAGAAACAAATGTAGCGCGATGGACGGGACGTCTGGTCGTGTTAAGGCAACCGGACAAATTGTTAGTCGACGATTATCTAATCTGACAAGCTTACGACTACTTGTTTGGGTTTCGAAATTACTAAAGTGACGTTTAAATATTATAAAAATAATATTATGGAAGATTACGTCATAAATAATCGGTGGCGAGATGTTATCGCCCCCGGCCGGCAGGAAGCGCTTCGGCCCATTTAAGGGTGCATTAAAATCGAATACATCATATTTGTTTGATTTCCTAGTTCGCGTTTTACCCTATAATTATACAAGTCACCGTCCATGGCCGGATCTCTGGCAGTTTTTGTTAAGATGCATTAATCATTTTTTTTTATTGCGAGCATGTGTTTTGGTCTTGTAAAACACTTTCGGCCTTTATAAGCTTTTGATTCTTAATGTCTAATTTAGTTTTCTGTCGGTTCTTATGAGGTCATTAGCGCAGCGTGTCCGCAGCCGCGGACGTTGAGAATTTATGGTTGAAAGTTACAAGTTTCATGCTGTCATAATTTGTCGCAATAATCGTAAAAAAATATTTTTGTAATAATTTCATGCTTCATATAATAAAATAAACTTTTTATTAACATTAAATATTTCATTTTAAATAATTATATTTATTTGTCATACAGACGCATGTTTCCAACGGTGCGCGTGTCGTTCGCGGGGTGTCGCGCGGAGGCGCGGTACGCAGTTCTATTGGACGTGGTACCGGTGGACGGCAAACGGTACCGGTACGCGTACCACAGGTCGTCGTGGCTGGTCGCCGGTAAGGCGGACCCGCCCGCCCCCGCGCGGCTCTACCCGCATCCCGACTCACCTTTCTCCGGCGACCAGCTTCGCAAGCAAGTCATCTCCTTCGAGAAAGTCAAGTTGACCAATAACGAAATGGACAAGCAAGGACAGGTAAGTACAAAACAGAATTAAGCTTCTAATGAGAGATTGTTCTTACTGATGGACGAATCAAGGATACTAGTAGTATCATATACATATCACTATCTATAGGTATAGATATATCTTAATGTACTCGTGTAAATTGTATGTGTAAACTAATATCAGTTTAGAACAACGGAGCAAAGCGAGTCAACAACATGTATTGTTACAAACATGAGCCGTTTGACACGGTACCTATTGGTGTATGAGTAAATGTTGTGTGGAGGTTGTATTGCCAGGAACAAGGTGATAAAGCGGCCGAGGAGTCTGAATGAGCTATAAAGTGTTGACGTAAAACACTTGATTTACGGGTCGCTCCAGGGATCATTGGCACTAACGAGCTCCGGCTGTGGCTTTACATCTAAAACATTTTCGTCTTAAAATTTTGCTTTTTATATCGTAACAATAAGACACTATATTACGCGATTTAGAATTAAAAGATTGTATTATCTAATATAGTCATGGTAGCTCACTTTCTTCTTGTTATCATCTGATCGATATTATTTAATATGCGGCTTTGGTCCCGTTAATTAAAATAAAAAAAATATCCTATCTGTTAATCGAGGATTTAATACGAATGAAACTTTTTAATTAATAAATATTTTTAAAGAACATGGACAATTTACAGAACATGACAAGAACAGTTATAATAAGTATGGCATCTTTCTACTAATAAATCTTCTACGATTAAACATAAGAGTAATAAAAATTGATTTACAAATAGCAGATATCGTGTCACTATGAGAACCTCCTTGTTGTTATAGAAAAACCACTGTTTTTCTCCGAAGGATATCAAACATATTTTATTTCTATTAATTACTTTTATATAGAAGTGATTATAACTTACTATATCACATTCAGCGCAGATTTCTATCTAATGAATTAGTAAAATAATTATTATCACGCGTGTCAACCCTGTTTTCGCGTCAATTATCCATCAAAAGCGTTCGGGATGATCGTGTCACCCGCACCATTTCCTTGTGCGTGCGGCAATTTATAGAATTACTTGTAAAATTGCCGGTCTCCGCGACACCTCGGGCGTCGATGGTGACGGTAATGCGGTGTTGGCAACAAATTAGTCGCACATGGTGTGTCAGCCGGCATCCCGGCTACTTACCTCCGCGTTGCAGGTGCTGCTCAATGCAAATGTCACTCACACGACCATTATATTGAGACCCGCAGTTGTATTTCCACTTTACAATAAGAGAGGTCTAGCACAGTAGTCGGTTACGTCGTAGCTAAATCGAGAGTATGACATGTTATGAAAGTTTTAAAAATTGATATTATCGGTGCCTCTATTAATTGATTTCGATAGTAGAAATAACCATAAGGAAGGTTATTTGAAATATTTCCTTTATAATATGTACATAGAGATAATTACAAATTTTGCATTACTGTTCATGTTATTTATTTTTAGAGAATAGTGATATTAATAATAAATTAACATTGAAGTTACATTAAAATATGGGGTATATATTTGTAGAATTAGGCGGAGTGGTAGAGTCAGAGCGAACTTCAACGGAACGGAACGAAGCGGGCGTGGCGCGGTGATGGATGGACCCGATTCTGACGAAAAATACACCTAATTGGCTTTCCCATAGCCCAGGGACTGATGGCTATCGTGCCCACGTTACCAGGGAATGGTTTGTTATATTAAAGCTAATTATGTAGGTCAAAGCGTGAAATGTGGTTTACGCGTTCCAAACAATAAAACGTCCGACCGGTTTTCGCTATCCGTGTTCCGTAATCTTGGCTCCTTATATCATGGAAGGCTAAATCGAACGTAAATATGTCGAAATTTATAAATAAAGCTCCTAATTAACTATAAATTATCAAAAACGGAACTAGTGCGAGCAACTCGTTAATATTTGTATATAACAGCGTACCGGCCACGCAATACGGCGACGGGCGGCGGTGGCACGCGTGCCTCGCGCCTAATTGTGGAACAAAAACTCCATGAAACGGACGAATTAATCATCAGCTCGCGACTTAACTACCTGTATTCGAATAATACTGAAATAACTACTGCATTCACGAGCCTTGTAATTTCTCAACCCTGCGAATGTTGTCGCGGGTCCGATTATGTACAATATGCTGTTATAGACATCTTTCAATTACTAAATATATATTTAATTTTCTTTTACAAATGATGGATTGATTATTGTTTCATTTTGTAAATAATACGTGATTGTCTATTAACATATTATTATAAAAATAAAAAAGGACAAAAAATAGTATGCGGCACAACATGATGCAATGAAACTTGGCTCACAGTTTTCAAAGATATTACGTAACATACGCATACAAAAAATACAGTCACACATCGAACCTCGTGCATTTTAAACTTGTTTCAAAAAAAATCACATTATGTACCTATCGAGCAATAGCATAAGTATTTCTTATGCATGTACATTAAATTTTATTGAAAAATAAATATATAAAGTGCTTTAACAAATTACCACATACTTACCTCTTGCTTGGAGCAAATTTTGTTCTTACCGTTGGCATTTCAAATAATTATAAAAAAAACCTGGTCGCTGTAGAGGGGTTAACCAAAAATTGTTTCGTGTACGAATCGAGGTCGGGAGTAACAATTCATGAGAACGGTCACACGAAAGCGCGGCGATGACGGGCCCCGATTGTGTTCCTTTAGTTCGACCTCTCAACTACTACTACACGGTTTCGTCTATATACGAAAAAATAAATGTATGGTCAAAAGTTACTACACGCCACTCTGCAACGGGTTAAATTATTATTGTTTCTGCTTTTAGATTTCTAATGTAAGATGAATACTGCGATATACTGAATTTAAGACTAATTGCTGCAAGAAACGAATGTTTAATTAATGAAAATATGGAAATTGCCGGTTTTGATATTCACAGTCTAACGTTAATGACGAATGGTCGTGGTGATTAATGACCGGCCTTCTGGCGGTTTACTTAAATAATGAGAATTATTAAAAACGTACACATTGCCAGGGATCTAGTAATCCGGTTTTGAAGAGTGTTGATGGATTTTTACCTGCTATATTTTATCTAATGAATAAAAATGCTGCGGGTTCCTTGTTGGTACGTTAAAATATGACATTTAAAGCAAGTAGTCGAATATTTATATCTATTCCTTCAATTTTTACTCGTATTATGTGTAAACGGCCATAAAGATAGATTATATTTTATTTGGTCAATTGTATTCACGAATAACATCGTTTAAATTACCTAGTTATGTATTTTATTCTTATTTTGTACTCGTTTATTTTAAGCATTAAAATTAGTAAAATTTTAATAATTCATAATACTTTAAACTGTATTGATTAATATAATTATATATCTGATAAAGAGTTCAAATATTAAAAGACAGTAGACAAAAAGACTCTTGATGATAACATAAATACTTTATTTACATTTTATTTGGTACAATGATATAGGTATGTATCCAATTCTGTTCAACTTCTATCATCGTTGATTAGTCGTAATGAACTCATTTGAAAGGAAAACTAACGTTTCCCTATAATACTAGAGAAGTAGCATTACCAGGGATACTGTAGGCCGTGGGGCCTCACACACAAATGTCCAGTAATCACAGTCATTTATACCATATATTACTGTGGTAATTATGTCGTTAGACGTGCTATCGTCTTATTTATTTTATGCAACATCCGACTTAAGTAGAACAGGCAATTATAATACGCTCAAGACGTATGCTTGAGATGTATGTGAAGTACATAGCCCGGTTTGTTCAGCTTTTTCTCGCAGAACAAGGGCCAAGATGATTACGCATAACGCGCATCGGCAGTAGTTAACGCAGTAATTTACGCATCATCTGGAGGACGCAACGACATAACGACTTTCATTACTCAAAACCAATGAACCTGTCTCATTTTATAAATATCAGAGTTATGAGAACCTTAAGAATTTTATTCTTATTGTTTATATCATATGTATATAAAAATACATGCGGCGTTTTTCCTTTTGACGTAATGCAATTGTTTACATAAGATTGCTAATTGCTTAATCTATGAACATCGCTGTATATAATATTTTGTAATTTATGTTGATCGTGGTAAATACATTTATATAGAAAAAAATATATTTAAAATTAATTCATCCAAGCGTCAACTGTTTCCTATTCATCCTATAATTCCTATATATCATTAAATCGTATTTATCAAAAATAGAAGTAGGTATATATTTTTTATACACTATGACTTCTACAGAGCATCTACCTGATAAGTATTCCTTAGTAATATTATTCTCGTGTGGTCACGGCACAGAATAGGTTACCCCTTTCTTTCTTGTGGGTGTCGTAAGAGGCGACTAAGGAAGTGCGAGAGATATGCAGCTGCGTTCCTCTTAAAACATCTTCAAAACCTAACTGCGGTTGCCAATCTGTCTGCCAAACGTGGCAACTACTAGCAAAACCCCTCTAGGGGGGGGCTTATGTTCAGCAGTAGACAGTTAGGGGCTGATATGATGATGATGATTATAATTTGTGACAATAAGAACATTAGTGGCACCGACAGGAGGAAACTCTAAAATGAAAAAAAATAACATTAATATATGTAATTATTTTTCATTATTAATTAGCGTTTACGGTAACGACACAAAAACAGATTTAAACCTGCTCCCTATATTCAATGACCGGTGATTATTATTATTATGCAACCCGGATCGTGAATTGATCAGAGTACCCGTATCACGCTGTTATCTGCGAAATTCTCTCGTTAATATTTTGTATTTAATTTACGATGGCATCCGCGCCACAGTACAGATATTTCGGCAATAAAATTTAATAAAATTCTCGCCAGACCGTCAGGCTGTCTTAATGAACAACGACAAACATCAATTCCGAGCGATCATTTGCGTTTTTAATTACTGTTAATATTTTTCACGTCGTTATGCTTATTCGAGGGTAAGGCAATTACGAAAACAAACACTCTAGACAGGTGATTTGAGTAGGTAGTGGATGTGAGCATA